AGTAAGATATTTAACAATAATTACATAATAAATGTGATTGGATTATATTAAAAAAATCAAGTCATGCTGATTTTTTGAGATGTGGTCTATACCTTAAATAAGAGTAATAGTCTATTTATGTTTTGAGATGTGGCTTCTTTCAAACTAATTAAACCTTAATGGACTAAATAATAAAATGATTTTTGAAACTAAAATCAAACTTCATAGAATATGGCTTAAAAGTCTATAAATAAGCAAACCTTACTCTATCCATCCATTAGTACTTTAGTCACAGTCCACATTAAAAAAGTTAGGTTTAAAGCCTATTGCAAAACCCACCATATATCCCTATCAATGCTTAAAAGTAATAATGGGAGTAACTTATAAAACACATACAAAATGAAAATTTTGAATGATATATTCTCTTAAAAAATTAGTCATGAGTGAAGATATGGTAGGAGGTAGGATTAATTTAGCATATTAGGGAGGGTTGATTTGGAAATATAATTCTTTATTATTAAAAGAATTGTAAAGAAAATGAATTGTATGGATCACCGACGAGGGAGAGGAGAAATCATTATCTTATGGGCAAATACATTCTAAGACCCCACATTTTGGTTGTAACCTTCACATGCTGTGGTCCCTTTCTTTCTTTTATTATTAATTTTTTTTTTGGAAAAAATGATAATATGATTGACTATTGTTAGTGGTTAAATGATTTTATTTTCGATGATTGATTTTTTTAATTAAGAAATTGCAAAAGCACTTGAACTTTCGATCCAGTAACAATAACATCACGTTAAAATGCATTTCTTTTTTCTCGAGCAACAGTTTAAATCCGACTTTTGTAAACATGTTAAAAAAATAATAAAAGGAAATTGCAAAAAAGAGTGACATTTTACCTATAAAGACCAAATCCATTAACGATACAATACCTATTAAAGCACCAAAAAAATCTAAAACCTATTAAGACCACAATACCTATTAAAGTACAAAAAAGGCTAAAACCTAATAAAGCACCGACTAAAGATAATAATATCCTATACAAATTTCTCTATTTTATTTTATTTTTATAATTTGAACAAATAAAATTACTTAATGACAACTTTGCCCATAAATGTTTTGATGTTAGACAGTGACCATTCAGCAAAAGAAAAATGTAGCCCTAATCAGAAGAAAACTCACTAGTTAAAATATCCCCCTCGTTGAAACTCACAGATTCTTTGGCAAAACAAAAACAAACGAAACTAACAGATTTTAAGACTAAATAAGCACCCACCTGCTTGCATGACCATGACCATGACCAAAACACACCAAGAAGAGGAAGAATAGAAAATTAGACTAAAATATAAAATGGATCTAAAAGCTTTAATCTAATTCATTCTATAACAAAAAAGCTAAGGCCGTTCATGTATGAGACTCACATGGGATTGTGGCCTTCAATTAGAAGGGAAATGTGCCAATCCCTACTTTTCTTCCATCCAATTTATAAAACTTCATCTTGCTGTAATCGATTTAAGTAATAGATATTCATATCTTCACTTTTGATGTTTTTCTTCTGGCATTTACAAATATAAAGAGCAATACAAGCAGCATGGCCCACAACATGAATTTCCAAAGGCTGATGTCAACTGAATATTTGAACATGTCCTCCAATCCCTCCTGCAAAACTTAAAGCCCCAGAATGAGAATCTGACTTTGATTGAAACAGTCAAAAGTTGCACCTAATAGAATATATTGCTGCACGCACTTCCACCTCAACCATACATGAATCTGATGATGACAGAACATATTGAGCACACAAATCTTGTATTATAATGCATAAGACTATAAATTTGCGGATGGTCAATGGTCATAGCCAATAGGGCTAACCAAGCTGTTCAAGATAGGCTTAGGAACCTAAAAACATCAATCATGTTTCATGCGGAGAACATCCATTACTTATTGGTTAACCTCTTTTTGAGCAGCTGGGAACCTCTAGTAACAAATTCCCTTAAGAAGATTCACATACACTCTAAATGATCAAATACACTTATTAGGTTTAATTAACCCAACATTATTTACCACCAAATAATAAGTTGGAAATATAATATCACAATTACTTATTATGAGTGGGAATAACAGAAACGAAAATAAATCATCTAGGGTAACTTGCTAGTCTAGGATAGGTAGAGAAACAGATACTAACCATGGCAAACAACATCTCTGCGGATTCCCTTTGTTGCTTTCCAAAGATGTCCTGGGCATATTCATACAGCTCCAAATCAAGGCTGTTAAGTGATCTTATCTGCTGAAGAACTGCCTCAGAAACATGAAGGCGTGCCTGTGAAATTCAGAATCTCAATAGTAACAGTAAAAGAGGCAAGACAAAAACAGTGGGCTATGATAATTCCTAACATATACATGACACGTCCATTCAGAATGATTTTATATTTACCATACCTCCTTCGAAAAGTTTGCCGGTGATATTCCCTTCAAAGAATTAGTGCGCCGACGTGCTTGAGTCTTCCGCAGGCCAGAAATACAGGTTCCATACGCACTCATTAACTTTCCCACAGTCATCTATCAGGGAAGAAAAGAAATCAGAAAACAGACTTCTGTATAAATAAATTAAACAAAAAATCATTTCAGGATGCTCAAACAGAAAGTCACATATCTAATTACAACAAAAATAGGTTACATTTTCATTATTTCCTGCAGTGCTCTTTGTTGATGTTGTCTTAGCCACCCTTTTCTCTGAGGTGCTATTCTGTCATTCAGGAAAAATGAAGCAATAAGACATCTACGTTAGTCGATTTTTGCTATCAGGTGCTAATTTGCTAAACTACAATACCTGTTGATGATTATCATCCAGCTCTGAATCTGAGAAAGAAGAGCTCTCTTCTGTAGCAAAAGCAAATGAACTTAAAAATACAAACAATGTTCACTTAAAAATAACAGAAAAGTATCAGAAATGCCAAAGCAGAATAAATTACCGTTCAATTTAATAGGAGTATAAATTGACTGATCAGGTTTCCGGATAAGATAACTTTCTTCCAAAGAAGAAAAAAGGAAAGAAAAGGAAAACAGAAAAGTATCCCTACCAACCTGATTTGATGTTAGCCTCCCCATCCCCAGTAGCATTTGATGCCACCAGCTGAGAAATCACCTGGGCACCAACCACATTCGCAAACATTGTTGCAGATTTGCGGTGGTCCTCTGTAAGTCCAACATATAACATGTTGTCCAACCTCTTCTGCAAGGTTTTAAAGTAGCTACCATGATTGCAAAGCCGTAAAAGAAAAAGAAAATCAGAAAAGCATGGTATGGAAATATTGTTTAAATTCAGAACCCACTTACGGTTACCTTTGCAACTTGAAGCACATATTCACCAAGAGCTTTGTGCTTCTGTACACAGTGTCGCACTTTATGTGAGTCATCTGAATATGAGTTGTTTGTTAATCCTGCAATCTGTAAATCACATTTGTTAACCAGCCTTTTGACAACTTAATTCTTTTTTCTTTTTGAAAAGCAAAGGATTCTCCATATTAATTAATAAAGAAGCATTTTCTTGATTTGAATAAAGAAGCATTTTCTGTTTCTTTGACAACTCCATGTTAATTACATAAAAAGGAAGATATTTATAAAGTAAGTTTAATAAATTCAGTAACTTGTATCTGTTGGAGGACTGACATCTGTTATGTACTCAAATCTTTACACGGAAGTCTAAGAGAAAGGTAACTTTTCACTACTATAACATGAAATTTGACTTCAAAGTGCCCTATTGGCTATAAGGGTGTAAGTGTCCTTTGGAAGCCTTAAGTTGATCTCTAAACCAGATAAGACGTTAGATGTAGTTCCTTCAATCTGTTTTTTGAACTTTTTATGTTAAAGGAAATAAAGCTGCATGGCTTTTTAGAATAATGATCCAGATTTAAAACCAAAAACTAAGATATGCATTAGATTTCTAACCCATATTTTGATGCAGTATTTCTAAGAGAAGAGAATAACCTTAAATAATTTTGCATTAAAAGAGATGAATAAAGAACATAAAAGAGCTGCATGTTGAAATATTGTGGACAAAATACCTGAAATGTAGCTCCATTATGGACAATATCATGAGCTATAGGGTCATTGATGTATTCCTCTAATGGCATTAGAATATCCCCCATGTCGTATGTATCACTGCTCTTGACATCATCAATCCCCCTAAGTCTTCTAGCATCTCTCTGTTCATATAAGTAACAAGATAGCTAACATTATAACTGTCTCTAGGAGTAAAGGGCAGCCATCTGGCCCATCCATACATAATTAGGGCATATAGTTAAACAAGGTGTGAGAACAGAACTAAGAGAAACGCCCCAAAGGCAGAAGTTACATACCCGAGAAAAAAGATCTTCTCTCATCCAAGGAACCAAATACTTCCATGGCCAAATATCCAGTGTACTTACAGCATTATTATTCTTAGTACGTATACGTCGAGTCATTTGTTTTGCAGAAGTCGAATTAGGATAAACTAAAAACCTGGCTGCTACCTCCACAGAAAACTCATAAGTACTAAAAACACGATCAAGTGGATTCCTAAGTATTGTGACAACTGATGTTTTGTTCTTGGGAAGTTTAGACATCATGCTATAGTCATCATGTGTAACCAGCAATCTGCATTTTGTCTTGCTGCAGAGAAAAATAAAAATGCATTAGAGTCCTTAATGAACCAGAAAGAAAACAATTTTATCCCTTTTTGCTTTTATTTTTTTTATTTTTTTCTTATTTTAAAAATCGTTTTGGAGGGTGAGGGGGGCTCGGTCCTACTGTAGAAATTGCTCATCTTGCCCAGTAATTATTATTGGACTATTTTACTCAAAGAAAAAAGTGATACTTACTGTCTACATCTGGCATGCAGGAAGGGAAACAAATGAAAATGCTCTTCAAAATTTTCACATGTACATAAATTCATAAAAAAAAAAAACTAAGCGGTTATACCAATCAATGAAATTAAAGTGATACTCAAATACATAAAATGCCAAGAATGACTAAATGAGAAAATGATTAACAAACATACCTTGGATCAAATCGTAGCTTGTCATAAGAACGGGGACATTCTAGGGAACTAGAATACAACCTCTTCAAGAAACTGCCAGTGCATAATTTGGGCAAAAGCAGAAAACAGATTATTCATCAAGCTGTTGCGTAGTTTGTTGATATTTGTTCTAAGCCACAAGAAATTACCAGTGAAAGTATGTGCGTCCTCCCGTTCGTGGTACATGGAGGAAAAACAGCATATCCTTGAGTATATGTTTGTCTTCCTTGAATTCTTGATCAAGTGAAGAAGCCGCCCACCCTTTTACCACTCTTTCACAATACCCGAAATCAGCTTTGACAAAAGCAGCATTCACTACTATAGAAATTGCAAACATGTTACAAAAGTTAGAGAACAATTCCATCAATCAATACACCCCATCTTGTCCACGCACCATAGAATTAAGTAGATAAAATCAAAATCACTCTCATTTGAGGAGAGCAATATACTTATCCATCCAACAAACAATATTTTCTAGACAAAATAAGAAGCGCAAAAGATTGAAAGGAATTGCATTGACACATACCAAACCCAGAAAGCATTAACAACAGTACCCATCTCAGAGCAGGATCCATCCCTTTAGCTCCTACTGTAGTCACTGCCAAGCATGACAATAAATAAATAAATAACATCAACAAGATCAATGATACAAAAGATATAAACCGCAGTTTCCACCATTAAAAAATAAAACAGTTTCTACCATTATTACTAGCAAACAGGGAAGCTAGAGAACACGAACCAGTAGTAAACTATTGAATTGATGAAACAGATATAGAAAAAGACAAAGCACTGATTGTGAATGTAAATGAAAAGCAGAGCAAAGCACTAATCAGAACAGTAAAACAAGGAAGAAATTGGAAGGGTAACGATGACAGGGAAAAAAGGAAAAAGGAACGGAGACCGGTGCCCTACCTGTATCGAGTACCGGGATCTCGACCTCATAAATTTGCAGGGGGCGGTGCCGGGAGTTCGCCGGACAGGGCGCTGTTATCGAGCCGGCCAAACGAAATGGAAATGAATATTTAAAGAAGTGTGATCTTTATTGCCTTGCCTGACAAACAGAATTAGGAAATTTTACGGTTAAAAAAAAAGAAAAGAAAAGAAAACGGAAAGCATAGTATTTCAGTGCGGTTTTGTTTCTAACTGAACTTGAGTCCGGAGAAGAACACGGAATCGGAGAGAATGTGGTTATCGACAACTCCGATCCTCCTCCGACCGAGGACTCTGATCTTCCTCCGACCGACGACGAGATAGGGGAAAAGGTGGGAGC